ATAAAAATAACTAAAAAATTTTTTTTTCTTTTTTTTTGTAGTTTACATACTTTAAAATATTTTCTGTTCGATCGCGCTTATGTATGAATTATAAAATTCTTAAAATTAATCGAAAATAATTTGTATATAATTGCTCTAGACGACGTGCTATTTTCGCGGAGAGGACGCATGGGTCGCATCGTAAGTCCACGGCATACTCTACCACCGAACACAACATGCACATACCACTTTCACGGCTATCCAGGGGATCTGATTTGGTTGTCATTCACAAGTTACAATCTGCAGATATTGCAACAAACCATCCACGACAACAACACCCTAGGCAGAGTATGTATTAATTCTATTTTCCACTTCCTCTTAAATATTTACCCATAAATTCATTTAACATTTTAGGCTGATCTGCCACCTTGGATAACACGACTAAGAATGTGGGATAGTTATGGCACATATGTTTCTTCGAAAACCACAACAACAACCGGACTACCGCCCTCACCCCCACCTGTGGTATCATCCGCCGCCGGTGGCAAGCCTACAACGCTAAATCAGAGCTCGTATGGCAACTACTATTACAGCGCTCAAAATCCGAAGCTAGGGAAAAATATACGCGTAAACATAGATAATGCGTGGAACCCCGTGGACACRTACATCTACGGTCCAACCCAATCGAGCATTTTTAACAATGAAAATAAATACAGTGGTTACCAGCAAGCTGGAACTGGGGTGGGAGGAAAGCARAGTGGCGGTATTGTAAATGGTGGTATAAGCGGCATTAAGGAGAGTCTGAATTATATTTCGGGTAGCAGTAGTAGTAAAAGTAGCAAAGACGCGACGTCAGCCGAAAAGACTTCAGTTTCATTGATGAGCTCGAAGGGCAAACGACGTCTTATGCTGGAAATATACGACTATGAGACACCCAAACTCTGTGACCATACTGCCATTAGCAATAACGCACTGGGTTTCAATAAATTGAGACCTTGCAGTCCCTTGGAGAGCTATGTCAGCTCCGGACGGGACTTGGTAAGTGAAATTGTAGCAAGTTTCTAAGAATTTAAAATTATTTAAAAGAAAGCATTTTACTTTTGCAAATCCTACTTAAAATAAACACAAGTACATGTGTGCCCTCTTTTTGCAGAAATTGGAATTCCAYACTCACACCGGCACTGCACTTTTCCCTGCTCAGTTTTCTCTCAATTATGAATTCGTGGACACTGAGCAAGGTGGCGAATCATGGCCGGGACGTCGTGGTGAAGACCCTGTACCTCCACTTTGTTCACGTGTATTCCGCAAGCGTAAAGGCAATATCCAAGTGCCACGAAACGTATTTCTCTATGGTCGAGGAGGCGCCAAAAACCTGACTTGTTTGTACCGATTTGAGGCCGGTTCATCGGAGCGAGTACGTTTGGTTTTACATAATGTTACATTTGGTGAGGGTACTACATGTACAACGGACTCCGATTTACACACCGGTCGACCACGTTGTAATCAACTGGATCCAGAGGGGCGTATCACAGAATTACGCCTGTTCGATGTGCCATTTCGTGATGTGAAAATACAATTGGGTTGTTTCTGTGACAATTCCAGCACACTTTATAGCAATGCACCGTTAACATTTATATCCAATTCACGTGTTATGGAACTAACATTCACCATTAATCGTCTAAATATATCGGAGGATTTTGCAGATGTTTTCTTTTTCGCTTCATACGAGTTCAAACGGGTTAGTGAATGTCGCAAACGTCTAAAACTGAAAGGATCCGGAGGTGAAGATGAAATTAAGTACCCAATGAAGTCACAAGACTCGAGTTGTGAAGGTCTCTCTTGGTGTATAGAAGCACAAACATTGGAGCATTCACTCTTCGTTCAGACTTGGGGCTCTTATTTACCAATTGATCCGACGTCAGAGGATGCAATGCGTTGTCATACGAAAAATCGTTTAATTATATATGCTGGCCGACCGTTGAAACCAATGCGTGTCGTTTGTCCAGCACAGAGTGGACCAAGACCAACTTCGTTGCATATATTCTCAGAGGATTGGACAAATGGTCAACCCTTGTTCACCAATAAGTAATACACTTAGAACATAAATATGGATATAATTTAACTATTCTCAATTACAGGCCTGTTAGCTTGGTKCTGGAGCCCATATTAAAAGAACCAGGCGACATAGCTTTCACATGGTTGGAAATATATCGCACACGCAACTCGTTAATTCAACAGTTGGACCTGCAAAGTAACGCCAGCGTAATGACTGGTGGTACCAGCGGTGGCAATGATACGCTGACCGACATTGGCTTTTATCCAAAAGAATCCGATTGTGAATATAAATGCCCCGAATTAGATGCGTGTATTGCGGGGAATCTGTGGTGTGACGGTACGTTGATTTGTAGAAATATTTTTACAAAATTCCCAGTGAAACATGGATTTTACGCTTTTGACCATAACAATATAGAATTTAAGCAAAACTTAGTTTCAACTATCTTATTAATGTACTTAAATCCCAGTTAAATTCAAATTGTGTAAAATTGTTTCAATTTTTATTAAAATATCTCATTTTTATTACAGGCCACAATAACTGCCCATCTGGATTTGATGAATCTGAACAGGAGTGCGGCTCGGCACGCAAACTGCTCGAACTGCCTGGTGGTGTATTTGCGGCGCTCGGATGCATAGCAGCAGCCATTACAGCCTGCCTCATATTCTGTATTTTCGGTTTATTGAGAAAACGTAAAAAAACTGTCGGYCAAAAGATTACCATAAATGGTACACTCAAAAAGGACTTCAACAAGGAGTCATTATTTATTGATCCAGCCTCCTGACATGGGCTGCAACCGGTCGAATATATACATGTCGATCGGGAAACGACTGTGTGATATGTTGCCGATGAATTTTAGTGCTGCTATTGCTGTCGCTTTAAAGATACTCTAACGAGTACGAAAGAGGGCGGGGCATTCGTGAAGGGTGATATAACGATCCAGCATGCATGACCCAGTGTATTGTGTACGGTATGCCCTAATTAAAAGATATACTTACAGACATACACACATAGTATATATAAGGAATTTTTCTAAGCGCTTGTTTTCAAATTACAACAATTACACACAACAACCAGAAAAAATAYGAAGCAAAAAAAACTGTTAGAATTGAGCAAAAGCAGCTAAGCTAATTTATGATAAGAAAACGATACAATCACTGCCTTTTGATCATACTTAACTAATCGTTTCAGTAATTAATGTAAACAATATTTTTAAATGAYTACACAAAGTGACAATGAATTATTTCTTCAAATGAAAGAATGCACGCTGAGTTTTAAATTTGAAATCTATTAAAAGAATGTGGGGTTATGGCACAGATTTCATTTTACACACTCAAATTGTTATTTTTTCAATAGAGGTCGCCTTGCGACAACCAAAGTCAATCGTTCCGTATATTTCGGMGAATAAAACAATATCGAAAACCTAAACTGGCGTTTGAAGACGGCTTAACGATTATAGATCCCGCCATTTCACGTAATATCAAGAAACGTTTAACAAAAAGGGAGGAAATTCTGTCAAGCATCTAACAAAACGATTAAGTTATTCAAACAAATTTACAGAAAATTCATAAAAATTCRTATTGTAGAAATTGTCTCAGTATGCTCTTTGGTTGTGATATTTATATTTTGAAAAGTTAAAAAATTGTTTTAACCCAAAAAAATTCGATTTATGAGATTCAGTAATGATATTTTTCTACCATAACAATAGCACTCAGCGTGTTTATATGATTAATATGTCGGAGCACGTTCGATTACGATGTGTAATTTCTAAATATTTCTTACTTCACATTAACTTCACACAATTTATGACTATAATAAGTTTTATTTACTCAGCTACAAAAGTTTTATTGTGACTATTTTTTGTATAATATAAACAACAGTGAGAAAACCAAACTCTAGACTTGTAGCAATAGTGGTGCCAAAATCAAAATGCCCAACAATCAAATAATTATGTTTTTTATATATATATATTTTTTATTGGGGTATGAGTTGGTGTATTCAAGTCTATTCAAAAGTTAAAAATTTGCAAAAAATATTTCATAATTAATTTTTGAAAAATCGTGTGCATCACTTAAAAAGCAATATTCAGGAACTTGCACTCCCTGCAAACCCCATATTCATAATTCTCATGATTCAAGATTACTCAAAAATATTCGCAATACTGTGGTTTGGCATGAATTTCGCATATAAAGAGTTAATCAAATAATATGTACTTTTTCACATTTGTTTTATGTTGATTGGGTATTTTGAAAATATTGAATATTTGTAGTGCAAAATTTAAATTTAAGCTGTAAACTTAAGTATCGATTATGTTGTACGAGTATGTCCGATTGTTGCGAAAAGGTTGAAAATAGGAAAAAAAGAAAACTATTGTAAATTAGGTACCTTTTAATTAATGGCATGAAAGCTAGGTAATTGCAGAAAGGATGAAAAACATAACAAAAAAATCGCAAATTCTAGAAATACATTGAACAAACTAAAGTAATTTTATTAATATTCAGCCATTTTCAATCAAACAAATTTGAAAACGAAATCAAGAAACAAAATACCATAATTAAATCTCGGAAAAAGAACGTTGAAAAGAAAAACAAAACAAAACAAAATAATATAGCGCTCACCTAATTAAAGTATTGTAGTTTAAGAGGGATACACGCAAAGTATAAATTTGTCAGCTATGCAATGCATAGCCAAATGTCAGAAAAAATATGAAATTATGGGCATAACAAATTATTTTGATTGAAAAATATATTCGATGGTACTATTTGAATTATGTAGTTTTGCCGAAATTCCACCAAATATATATATATATAAGATGTGTATAAGAGACAGCTTTCAGTAGTCAGGTAAAATTTCAATGCCGGCGCTCAGTCTGAGCCCAATGTATGATAAAAAAGTGAAGAAAATAATAGCAAAATCCCGTCAGATGTCCTTAGCCAAATGAAATTCAAAATCTTCAAGGAAATTCAAAATGATAAGGAAGGTCACATTAAGCAGTAATATAAATCAAAATGACTATGTATTAGTTAAGAGGTAATGAAGCGAAATTATTAAATAGAAAAGAAATTCATTATTTTTTTCATCAGGTAGTGGTAAGTAGCATACAAATTTGGATTCTCTGTTGTTCATAAACAAACAAAGAGAGTTAAATTAAAACCCAATTTGTGCAGTTTTAATTCACGTAAAAATAATAAATGTACTTTTTGGTCAAGACGTGAGGTACTCGAGCAGTATTGATGATTGTAGACTCATCCACATGGATGCGGGCGGGATGCAATCAGAAAATATATAAGACACTTCAAACACCATTCCGGCATCGAAAGATTTTAAAGAAATACTTAAAAATTTTAAGAATCCCTTATTAATCAAGCAACGTCAAGACAAGAAGAGAACCGTTTACAAATTTTAAAATTTTTCTTCAATAAAATAACAATTGAACTTGCGATTTTATTGAAAAATCATTGCAAAACACTAATTTTATATACACATATGTATATGTTACGACCACCTATACACATAAATAATTTATTTTCAATTTACAGTGTGCAACCGAACTTATTATGGTGACGTTGGCCGCACCTATACATTAAAGGTACCAACACCACAATGGAACCGACTGCCTTTTTTATGTCACTTAACATTCACCGCTTCTGGGCGTGAACAAGGCGATATTGTGCAAGTAAGTATACTATTGAGTATCGCTTTCAAATTTACTGACTATTTATAAACTCATACAAACCAATGTGAGAATTCACAAATGCCCATGCATACATCTATTCTCCATTTGGCCTGAATATTCTAAAGAGTCAGAAATAAAATTTTAAACTACACCTTTACCAACACCTGGACGCTCAAGTACAACTTACATCGTTGTACTCCATTTGCATATACTCACACGCTTACTTAAATGCATATATAAATATACAAGCATTCGAGACATAAGTGTACGTGCATGTGCTATTCTGCTTTACAAATATCCTTTGCTACAAACCGCCTTTAATAAACCTAGATTTTATACGCGCTTAGCTAAACCAGTATATATATAATAATTGCAACTTTTACATTTCTTCAGATTATTTTCGATAGTTTCACAGTGGGCCGCTTTGATGAGGGCATGGTCGACTCAGATGTTGAAGGTTACGAGAGTAATGTTAACCCCGTGGGCGAGTTGCCGGGTTGTCCGGAGGGTTTTATGCAGGCAAGTTTCCATTTATTTACATTTTGAAAAATATTTTTTTTATAATTTGAAATTATTTATTGTAGCTAAGTGAACTGGGGCGCCCATTCACAGGAGGCTCTTGGTGTGGGAAAGCCACTGGCCCACAATTGTATTTCAGTGAAACAACAACAGTAACAGCTTCTGTTAAAGTAAGTGAAATTAAAAGCATTTGAATGTAAAATATTTTGAGACTTCAAATGAAAATATGACAAGAATAATAATAATTAAATTATTGTAATATTTGTAATAACTAAACTGAATATTGTAAATACAGGTACATGCAGATTATAGCTGAAAACTTTTGGTGAAAATATTCTAAATATTGAGCAAAGAGAAGAGACATTTTAGTGACCTTACAGAAAGTCTTTGAAATATTGAAGGCTTATTTATAACACTGGTTTACAGTTATTTTGCGACTGTGTTGTTAGAGGCTGTGTCTTGCTAACTTTGGGTTGCTAAAACCGAAACTGGTAGTAAAAATTGCTTAACACGTAGGATTTTTTGTATATTAGTTAAGGGGAGTACAGCTCAAACCACCACTATTTACTAAAATGACAAAAATAGCTGTACGTGATGGAAAATGCTTGATCTCAAATTCCGATTCAGGATACCTCAAGTACCACTCAGACCTCTTAGCACATCAGTCCAAAATGACTCACCTCATGCTTAAGAATATCATTCAATTTATCGAATATTCGGTTTCGTCTGAATTTTTCCTTTATTTATTTGCTATACCTACAAATTCGGTAAACAGAATTGTCATTTTATGTTTTCTTTCCGTAATTTCTTCAACTATATTTGCAGGTGTTTCATCCGCCAAAGAATATACATGATGAAAAGCCATTTGAATTTAAAATACGATACAAATTTATCAGTCAAACCGATGCTGTAGTTAGGTACGTATATAAATAATAATAAATATAAGATACTTTGAATACAGTTTTATTATATGAATGACGTAAATATTTTTACAAAATTGTTTAAAATTTTATCACCAACATATGTATTTATATTCAATAATTGCATTGTTTTGATTTTGTTCAATAGATATGGTTTACCTGATAAACCTTTGGAATTGGGTCGTGTTACGCCCGGCACTTATTGCACACGCCAGTTCGATGAGTGTTATCGCAACAAATGCCATTTGCAGAGTCCAAATTACCCTGGAATGTATCCGAGAAATGTAACATGCTATTGGACTATAAGACAAAAGGAGGTGCCGACCAGTAAACATGCCATGATTGCCGTTAGTCAAGAAAATCAACACAAAGCTCTCGTCAAAAGGTATTTATAGTTTCCCAGCCTCAATAACGGCTGAAGCTATTATGCTCTAGAAATTCTAAGAAGTCTTTGTGAATACTTATATATATTATATTATTTATGTTTTGCTGTTTGATTAGATCCATTGCGAGCTTCAACAAAACTTCACGTTCCATTCGGGCTTGGTCGGACTGTACAGGGGAACGTGATCATCTAATATTCTATGATGGCAGTTCAACGAATGATCCGGTTTTGGCCAAATACTGTGGTGGGGATTGGTTGCCACGGGTGGTATCACGGTAAGTAGATGGGTTACATAGCACTGGAAGAAATGGGCTTATTTATGCTAATTTTTATCTCCAACCCGAATGAGTTTAACATTTTAACGCTTCTAAACACTACGGTCACCATAAATATGTGTGGTAGTTTCAAAATAATTATATAAGAGGTAGAGACCTCGAAAACCAAATTTGGTTAGATTAAGATGAAAATCTGTCAAACCACTTTTTTGAAAATTTTATTTTTCTTTACTGGNAATTAGGATTTATTTTGAATATATTTTTAAAATGCGTAAGAAAATGTCCATTGTATCTAACAGTTTCATACAACATTTATTTAATATACAATAATTGTTTATGGTCTACATCGCGTATGAGTAACCTTATCGAAATATTTTTGTAAATACAAAAACACGTCTGATTCGTAAGAAGCTTTATATAAATGAATAAGTTGTCTTTCCCTTTTATTTAATTTTAAGAAATTACAATATTTTCATGAATTGGTATGTATTTTAAATCAAAATCGCTGTTAAAACCTTTTAATTTGTCATTCACTAGCCTAATGTTGAAACTTTTTTCGAAACTTTTGATAGTTTTTGACTCGTTCGATATTTTATTCATTACTTTTTATATTAAGTATAAAGTTATTATCTCTGCAGATATAATAAATGAACACTTTATTGAAAAAAATATATAATTTTCCAAATTGTCTTTATACATAGCTTAATTTATTTAAAAACGATATTTTTTAAATTATATTTATTTATTTTAATTTGATAAATGAATAATTTCATGAAGCCGTCAAGCAAAAATTAGTAAAGCTTTATTTTTAAGCCTAAAATAATAATAATAAAATTATTAGAATATGTTAAKACAACTTTTTATACTTTCAAGTCATCAATTTTTTCTCTTATTTTTTAATAAAGTGAGTCAAGAGCGTTTTAAGACTCAAAAGTACTGTACTGCAAAGTGTAACTTTTGCATTTATGTATACTAAAAGAACTAATTACTAACTTACTAACTTRGTTACTTATTATCTAATTGTAAGTAATACTTGCATAAGTTTTTTTTCTATTTTACAGTAAGACACAAGCCTGTACACTCTTCAMAAAAATATATAAATTAACTATAATTAGTTTCCAAATTTACCGACTCATATAAAAAACGTTATTTTTTAGTATCGAAAAACATTTTTATGTGCTTTTCAACAAAAATATATACATTATTCGTAAAAGTAGTGGGTAATTTTACTGTATTTGATAATTTAAAAAAACTGCAGTCTTGCCTTTATAGTTAAAATTGTTTTATATTTAAATTTTATTGTGTGTATAACAGAGAGAGGCAGCCCCTTATTGTCCCGCGGAAAGGCCAAAAAGCAAATGCAACTTTAATTAAGAACTAGTTATAATTAAGAGTAGTAGAATATATATTCTTTAGGGCACTTACATAATTAAATAAAAACACACGATTTAATGTGTWAGGGTATCGATGGCAAAATGATGAAATTTATTCCAGATACACGGATATTAGCAGGTTTTATTAAAACATATAAAGAGGTTAAATAAATACAAAAAATTTTAATACATATAAAGATTTATAATTTTAGAATGATTCATTATCCTTAATCTAATCTACTAGTAATTGGTACAACTACTGTTGAAGAATGTCAAATAATTTCTTGAAAGTATTTTACAATATTAAGAACACTTCAAATTTTTTAATTCATAAAACATTTAATTTAGTATTGGTTATTTCTTTAATCTGGTAACAGCATGTAATTAACTCTTTTCATATATAAATCACATTTGCATTTATAAGTTCATATACATACATATATACATATACAATATATATCTGCGCGATAGGTCATCCCTAAATCTTCCATCATTTTGCCATCGCCGCCCTTTTCACTTAAGAGAAAATATTCATACACGAATATGAATATTACAAAAGAAATCTCGAAAGTGTTGTGACGATGAAGCACGTATGTAAATCTTATGTTATACGTAATAAAGACAGTTTATATAATAAGACTTACATTAACATACTACATAAATAAATGCATTCATACATACATACATACTAGTATATTAAATAACACATTGCACGCAAGTACGTATGTACATTAGCAGGTATGTAATAAGTTATTGAAAGTATAGCCATATAAGTATACATTTGCAGCAAATGCAAAGCAAATGAGAGCAATTACTATATACATACATTTATATATATATACATACACTGAAACATATGTATAGATATATATATATATACATACATACGTACGTACGTACGATTATAATGTAAATCCCTGCACAAGTGGGTAACGACAACTTTGGTCTGTTATATTAAATAAAATAGATCATTATTTATAAAAATGCACCACACCTACGAGTAGATAACCAAACCTTAGAAAATATGAAAAAACGATGTTTCCAGCATAAATGTTTTAAAAACATATAATAACTAGTTCATATATATAAAAAAAAAACATCACAAAAAATAGGCAAATAAAAACACACGAAAAATACAAAATTATTTTAGTTCCTTTTTGTTGTTGAAGGAAAGTCTAATTTACTTCAAAGCGTGTACGAAGACAAATAATCCATCGCTCAAATTATGGTCAACATAATCGGACTGATATGCGTACTATTCGCAACACCATCACCCATCTTGACAACCGGAATTCATTATGGGAGTGAAGAAAATATRACAGCCGTGCTGGGACCGYCAAGGGTCGATTCGGCGCCGTTCGCAGCAACKCGGCCTATGGAACGACTTGGCGTACAAAATACAGCTTGTGCAAGAACTGWAGCCGATCGACCTTCCCAAACGACATCGCTTTCAAGTTCCAAGAAGATCTGGCGTTTTTGAGTAAAATTTTGTTCAGCGATGAGGTTMATTTCTGAMTCAAACAATACGTGAGCAAGCAAAATTGCCGCATTTGGGACGAAGAAATTTTCAAAAGAATCGATACAGCAACTTCTTTTTTTTATTCTCAAAAATCTATGTTTTTATGTTGTCACAAGTTATTCGATCTATTTAGATTGACTGTCACAACGTTCGTTTTACCGAACACTTATTCGGCTTTTGGTATCCATCAGATAATAGTTCTAAACTAATATCGTCATTGCAACGTTGTTTCTTCAGATTATGAAATAAAATTAGTTGAGAACTGTTTGCTAGCAAAAGTCTTGCTATATCACCGCCCAAAGTTTAGATGATAGGATTAGATATTCTAACTTTCGGTTGTTCAYTTAACTTTTGGCTGATCTAGAGAGATCGCACTTGCTATATGTGGCCCTTTGTRAAGCCATAWAAAGAAGAGCTCCTGTCTGAAGRTATGCGCTCCCAAGTGTTAAAACCTTGACCTCCATAACGCGGAAGAGTCAAGAAGGAAGTTGTTGAGTTGTTTTCACTTCGTCTTCTTCCTTACTGCTGCAGAAGCTAAAAGCCATAACATAATGCCAAAAATGTGCATAATCGATCCATAAATCGACGTCAGATGTACAATTTCAAAAATATTCCTTAAAAACTAGCATACAAATGTATTCTAGATAGTTTTACAAAAAAAAAATCATGCAAAATAATGCACCCCTTCTCTGAATTGCTTTGAAATTTCAAACCTGAAAGTCTGGAAAGAAAAGTCAAATCAATGTATTTTGAAATTATAAAAAAATAATTTCTTCCTTCGCAGTAGCAACGCCGATTCAAACAACATTGAAAGTTTAAATGGATCTTTTGATTGCTTTTCGTTTTACTGTTATAGCAGTGTTGCTCTTTTTAACGATTATAGTTCTTTTGCTTCGTGTAGTAGCTACTTAATGTTAAAGGAGAACAAATAATTTATAAAGCAAAGGTAAGTTAATACTGATGACAAGCGTTTTGAGTAATATTTTATGGCAATGTTTTTTAGTTTTCGCAAATTCTGGGAAACCCAAAGCACATGTATTCTAAATTGAAGAGCCAGAATGGATGTCGTTGGAACAGTTGAAAATTGCTGCAGATGGCTGAGTGTAGACACCTAAAATGCCAAACCAAGCAAGTTCACACGCACATATACATACATATGCATTGCAAGCACTTTTAGACGTAGTTTCTTTTACTTGAATACAAAATGTTTAAATACTTCTATGAAATGTAAACAGTAAAGATCTTCATTTAAGTACAGCATCGTGTACATCAGTTTACTTATACCATATGGATCTCTCTGATACAGTATTGTATTTAGATATTGAATGAAGTAAATAAACAATTGCCTTGAATATAATGATTTGATGATAAACGTATCCCTTTTCTGTAGTCGTTGATATTTACTTATCTTTCATCATCAATAAAACGTTGCTGCAAGTACAATATATGTATATCTCATCCAGAGCGCCAGAAATGAAGTAGCAAAAATGTTATAAAAGCTAACCTTCATAAAATATACCTGTTGTACACATGCGCAACAATACAATATGGAACAATACAGAATTTGCCCGGAAATTAATAGGACTGATCAATGAAATTTCTTCCGCCACAACTGTCCYACATAGCTGGTCAGTTGTTTCCGAGCAGCTGAAGAGCCAGCACAAAAATTTTCGCGCGACGTGTTTCTGTGAGTGGTGCAAGCTGAAAATGCAGCTTTCAATATAGCCGAGGTACGCGATTAAATTCTAYGTGAAAATCGGTAAATCTGCGACAGAGACGTTTGAATAACGTTATCACAGGTGACGAGTAATGGATCTTTGTATATGATTCCGAGACAAAGAGGCAATCTTCCGAGTGGCACACACCGGCGTCTCCTCGCCCCAAAAAGGGAAGAATAAGGGAATCCAAAGTGAAAACGATTCTCATCGTCCACCGTGAATTTGTTCCTCCTGGACAAACCGTCAACGCCAAGTTTCACGAGGAAGTCATCAAAAGTCTCAACCGAAGGGTCAATCGGGTCCGAAAATACATCGCAACCGAGTGGAAGTCGCACCACGCTAACGCCCCGGTTCACACCGCATTTCTTGTGAACAGCTACCTAACAAACGCTTTCGCAGCCGCACCGCCGAATTTTTTATTGATTTCCTTGGGCGATAAAAGGCAAGCATTTCGAGACGACGGAGAGGATCCACGCAGCATGCATCTCGGCTCTCAAGGCTGTTCCGGAGAATGCCTTTCGTGACGTCTTTAATGCTTAGAAATCCGACGCAGAAGAAGCCTATTCTGAAAGTGTATGCCCAAAATATTGCAAAAGTTCATTACTAAATAAAGTTGGAGCGTCGTTATGTTAAAATGCTAATGGAAAATGGAGAATTAAATTTATTTATATGGACTGAAAACTCTTTGGAACATTATTTCGACATACCATCGAACCAAGAGCACTTCACTTTGTTTACTGATTGTTTTACAATGTTCGAGGTTCGTTGAAAATTGATGAATGCGAATACGAAAATCTTACCAGTCGACTATAGTATGTTCAGGCGCTTGGAACGACCACCGGGTAACAACCAGTCAGACTGCCGATTGTACCATGCTCAAATGTGTAGCGGTTCCTTCTGCTAGACTTATATGTGTAATACTTGCCTTTTGGAATCGTTTTAGGAGAGTCAGTGCATAAAATATTTATAATTATGCTTTTTTCTCAGCGGTATTTTCAATCATTTCAGACAGCTGCAGATTCTTTGATGATTCTGATATGTATGTGTGTAAAGCGTTATCATCCACTTGACCTACGCCTACCTGCCAAACGCTCAATTGCGTGTACTTGGGTATAAATACAAAAATGTTTTGGCTATTAACTGTGTTATGCCAGGAAAGCGAACTAAATGAAATAATTTCTAAATCGATTAGATGCGATAAGAGCTAATCACACATGCCAATAATATGCGATAAAGATAAAATGTCAACAGATTGGCAWATAATTATCGTAAAAGTAACGAATTAGGCGTGCAAATAAACAAAATGAAAAGCATACATACATATGTATATTCGTAAATGAGAGGTGTACTTAATCGTCGAATTATGATATAATATTTAGAGAATTGCTTTCCGCTTAAAATATGGAAATGATTTGAGTACAATGCAGCAAAAAATCTTTAACTAAAGCAAACAAGAACTAAGCGCATTTGCTTGTCGTCAGGTGGGCTGAAATCTCCAACATATTTCTGGAAAATAAAATGGACATATTGCTCTTAAGCCCCCAACTCCTTAACCCAACTTAGAACCCGACTACTCCATTTGCAGGCTGTCGCCAGTACCATATAAAGATATACATATGTACATATATGATTCTTTAGAAAGCAAAAGGTTGATTCCAATAGTTACGAAATAGCCAATGATTCAGATTTATGAATGTGTATATTTAATTATACAATAAAAATTAAAAATTGCGTCAATTTAAAATAAAAATATAAAACTACTACAAAACAGAAATTATTTTAAATTAAAAATAAATAAATATGTATGTATAGTATTATTGCATTCGATAAATAATTCACACAATTTCTTGTATATGTTTTGTTTTCAATCCATAATTTTGTAACCATAACTGTTATTAGTTTTACTTTAGTTTTAATTTTATTGATCACTTTTTTGTTATCTTTGTTATACAAAACGGCAACATTTGTAGGGAGATTTTTCTAACAGCTCCACATTTCACTATATTTGTCTGTGTAGGTGTAATTTTAAACTTTCTCTTTCAAAAAGATTTTCTTTGATAAATTTTTTTCGCTATTACGCACGTATGTACATGCACACATACAAACACATGTGTATGTATATGTATATAGGAAAATTCATATGTTTATTAGCTAATAACTCGATAGGCACATTCATATAAATACATATGTATGCACATATATGGCAGAGTATATTAAAGGCTGCTAACCGGCTGTAGTTTGTTGTTGTTGTAAATTGCTAAAATTATTTAGTCTTTAGGCATCTGTTCGCCAATACAGAATATGCTTTCTAGTTCGTATCTATGTATTTATGTATGTGTGCATATACTAGTGCATGTGCGTAGATTTATATTGTGTTAATATTTACAAAAAATATACATAATTCCATACATATAATAAGTTTATATGAATGTAGCGTTCGTGATTTTGCTTGTTCTTTGGCTTTGTAAGGGTGGATTCACTTGTTATATGTATGTAGGTGGAAAGTTAGTAGGATTCTTGAGAGTATTTTCCCTGATTTTTTAACTAAGTGTATATATGTGTGTTTCTGTATATTCGTGTACTTGTGTGTGTGTGTGTTTCTTTGCATGCAGCTTCACAGTATTAATAACATTGTATGTATATATATATATATATGTATTTGGTTTTTTAACATTTTTCTCTCAATATGTCTCAGGTGCCTAGTAGAAGGAGCTACACCATGCATCACCGACCGTGGGGCTGAACAACCCAGCTGTGTGACTTGTAGTCGTGTGCACGTGTATTGGATGCGTGGTGGCACTAGCAGGACTTGACGCTGGCAAGCATTGGAAGCAGTAATTAGTTCCATAGTTGTTATCCCAAAACTGTTGGCCTTTACATTGAAAACGACAAGCAAACTCAATACGCTGACCAATTTGCAAAGAATTACCAAAAAGATAGAAGGTAAATTTATCTGAAAAGCCGTCACAAGAGTTTTCAGCATAGTTTGCCTGCAGATCGGCATAGCTGCGCCAATTATCCAGCGTATAACGTATGTGCACTGACTTGTTGAAGTCCAAATTGCGTACACGCACAGTTCCGGTAATCGTCTGATTGATGTGATCCGTTACTGCGGCGTTCTCCAATGAAACTTGTTTTTCGCGTACAAGATCTAAAAAGTTCGGCAGTCCACCGGGCTGTTGAAAGAGCGGCATGAGTAACTTATCAGATTTCGGTCCGAGCTGTATGGGCGGTTCCGATTCCAACACTTCCAAATCTTCAAATGCAGATTTCGGTATGGTTGGTATTTCGTCGAGAAACGTTTTGATATCGGCCAAATCGAGACCTAGTACATCTGCGAAACGCACAATTTTCTTGCGACCTGGTGTACCCGGTGGTGTTTTACCGGTTTTCAGTGATGAGCAGCGGCGCACACGTTGCGGCCGACAATCGTCTTCATCCTCTTCGTGTCCATCGAATGTGGATTTCTCATCTTTGGTTTTGTTGTGCAGTTGTTTAGTTTCAGTTGGTTCCTGAGTGCTTGTACGGGTCGACTCGTTTGTGTCTAACCCTATTTGTACTTCGGTTTGGGCGGTTTTTTCCGTATTGCTAGTTTCAGTCGTTTGTGTATGCAATTGTTCTATATTGTCAAGATTTCTGTGTGCATCAGTTTCAGTGTCACCGTTAGAGAGATTAGTATGCAAAGTTTTGGAAGCAGTATTGTTGTTTTCGCTATTTGCTTGAATTTGCATGGATTCAATAATATTTCCAATGCGTGCRCTATGTTCTTGCAGTTCGTTGATAATATCATCTTGTATATTTGCCAAATCCACAGGTGTTAAAGTTTCATCATGTTTCTGCACCTCCACCAAAGGTTCTTGGGATAGTTCCTTATTTGCAACCGCTGCATTGTCGACATCGTCCTCATTCTTGCTGTTTTCTGTAGACGCGTTATCATGGTGGTCATGGACTTGGTCATTCGCGCCATAGCCGTTGTGTAGTGTAGGCGAAAATTCAGGTGCGGCATTTATCGTTTGATCATTGTGTATATGATCAAAGTACTGCACATCTGTGGAACCGCGACTACTCGAGGTCGACGCACAAACACATCCCGACTCTGCCGCCGAATTGTGTGGTGTATTCGATGCTGTCTCTATTAGTCGCAAATATTCACACTCATCCACAGGGCTACCTGGACTTTCCAGCTCACAGTCAAAATCAAAGAACGAATCGGATTCATGGCGCAGCGGTTGTAAGTCCGTCACCGCCTGCGCGGATTCATTTGTGGTTTTCCATGTATTGGTTGTGTTATTTTCATTAATTATCGACACTTCCTCAGGCGATAATTCGCCATCGTCATTCTATAAAAATATATTTAACAAACTTGTGTAAATATTTGCTATTGTAGATATTAAGCACAACACACCTGTGTGCCCAATGTACGTAACTTCGATGATAAACTACGTGCAAAAGCCTCGGCTCTACCACGACATGATGACATGCCTAATGTAGGAATTACAGATATTATACTGCAGGATTTTGGGTCAGGGGTGCCACTGTTCTCATTCAAAGGAATATCGCCGGGACCGTTCATTGGCCTTAACCAGAATCACGATCTGAAAGAAATATATAAAAAGACATGTTATTTATAAAATATTCGAGTAATTTAATAATCGTTAACACGTTCTTCACGTTCACAGCTAAAAGCTATACGAATGTTAAGTTTGAGCTTCGCCAATTTTCTAAATTATATAATTCATAATAGCTTGATTTGAATCTATTTGTTTAGTAAAAAGAATATAATACAGAATATCCAATTTAATCTCAATTTTCTGAATAATGAGTATGAGAATAGCAATTGGAGGAAATCTTTGCTTTTTGAGTACCAATTTTAAACTCGTCCCTTAGAATTGATATTCAGTACGAAAGCATAGCTTATGGGATTATAAAATGTACAACTTCGATATTATATAGTATTCCTTATTTCTCGCTTAACTGAACTACAGCTACACCCAGCCTTCTAATCACAGATATATTCTCTTATACAGTCTTTAAAACTCGAAARCAAATAATAGGATGCTTGCACTTATTTTTAAAAATCAGAACGTTTATAACCTAAAACTGCGCTTGTTTTGAGAAATCACTCYTCAAACAGATGCATGCTTATATAAACTGAAAAAAAATTATCAAATTATGAGCAAGTTAATGCTTAATGCATTCGCTAATGATAACAACTTGTAATCTAATTGGCATATGAATTATACAACGAGACATTAAATAATGCAAAAATCAATAAAAACAAATGAAAATCGAAGAAAATTCAACAACGACTTTTTGGTGCGTTCGAATWTTGATTTTGTTTTTATTTTTTGTTTTTGTGTTTTTTGACCACACTCTCCTCTTCACAGCTAAAAATATTTCACTCTCTAACTTAGTGGCTTGGCTCGTGTTAAGAAAAGGAAAAATAAAGCAAATTAATTAAGATTACTTTTTAGTAGGTATTTATATTGTATATTATACATTGTGGGTTTTTTGTGGGCGCATACAAATGTAGGTTTATTTGTAAATAATGGCGAAGCGCAATTGTTAACGTACAGACAGCCAAATAGCTCATAAATAATTTTCATTTCGCTTTTTAGTTATCTCAATATGAAAAATCGGTGCAATCGAATTTGCATGTACATATGTATATGTACATATATGCATATATGTGTGTAGATACTTAATACATGTCTGTTATTTATTAGGCGAAATAATCTCTTAATTTAAAAACCGCATGGAAAAGGAACTTTTAGTGACTTGCATACACATACATTCTGTCTACCTATTTGTGCGTATTTATACCATACATATGCGATTTAGAGCAACTTGCCGGAATAAAAATATGCATATAAGTCTCTAGCATATGTATTTACATATAAATGTAGTATTTTGGTATTTATCGTGAAGACAAGTTCTTGGCAAAGAATTATCATTCCCTCGCAAGTCAGTTTATACATCCACATTAACCTAAAAGGAAATACATATATATGCGAATAAATTTGTGTGTATATAATAAAACAAGTAAGGAAGAGCTCTGTACGRGTGCAACCGAAGATTTATACTCCAGCAACTTGTACCTAGTGGCTTGAACAGTTTTGGTTGAATTTGGATAATTTTTCTTCACAAGTGGCATAACTCAAAAATACTGTGCATACAATGCYTTAATCCGTTAAATTGATTGCTTCTTTATTTATATACTGGAAACTGAAGGAATCAAATGGAATGTAGAACTTTGTTATATGGAATGTAGGGGTTTCACATAGTCTCACAATGTTATACGTTATAACGATCAGAAAACATAGCGTACATTTTCGTAAACTTATTTTAGTATGCAATATGAAAACAAATTTTTCAAAGAAGTATAAGAATTTATGATTTTATTATTTTACGATGTTTCATGACACGTTGTGAGTACTCCAATAGTAAAACGAGAGGAATGTCATCTACCAAATTTGGTTAAAATTGGTCGGTCAGGTACCGAAATATATAACTTCACTTAAAAGTGGGCGGTGCCACGCACGTCGGCTCCTGTTAAAATTTTGTGTTATTGATTYATCACACTTTTAGTAGTGGTTAATAGCACCGATAAATTGTGAGTGAGCGGGGTTATGGTCCGATTTTATAAATTTTTACAATTTCAACTCATCTCGTCATTCTGAKTATTTATAAATACATAACTTTATATCTATCTCGGTTAGTTTAGGTAATACCTACAACCATTAGGTGAACAAAACTATTATACTCTGAAGCAATATGTTGCAAGAGTATAAAAACGAAGCCTTATTATAAGGTATTTAAATCCACATGCTGTAATTACTTGTATTTGTATTTGTGTGGCTCTGTTGTAGCCACACTGTCATGACTTAATAAAACAACTAGTCAATAAAAACATTTCCAAACTTCCTTCGTAAAGAACGACAAAATGATGATAATCTATTGATTATCAGAGAAGTTTATGAAAAGTGCTCATAAGAAAATTAAAATGGTAGCACATCCATTCTGATGCACTGTATTCAGAAACTGGGTTAATCGTAAAAAATCACATTTTTTGTTATCGGCTGTGTAGAGAACAAAAGCGCCTTAAAGACTCCCTTGTTGAATTGAGAGTGAAATTTTTAAACACTTGATTAAAAAAAATTATTCAGTTCAAAGTTTTTACCAACAGGAACAAAACCGAGTTTCAACTTCCAAMTAACTATTTTTTCTGTTAATTTCTATATAATTATTTTTAATATGGCAAGTAYGATTTATCCAGAGTATACCGTACATGAAGCAATGACATAAAGGCAAATATGAAATGGTTACTTYGTAATAAAAATTAGCCTATACGAAWATATWTTACTTAATGCTGAATATGACGTTATGCCATGCATACGGTAACGAGCCTCTATTACATAACGCCAATTGAATAATTTTCCTTCACACAGTTCATYTAATCAAATAACAATAGACAGCATTTTGACATGTCACTCGGCAGCTAACAGCTGGCAGCTGACAGCCGCATTCCTCGCTGCGTGGCATATCAGCTGACAACCCGAATATGGACATATTCGMGTATATGAATTATTTCGACAAAGCATTTCAATACAGAATGATTACTGTTCTCATTTACTTCTATGGAAATGAAGCTTATGCTATGCTGTTGTACTCCCTATTTGTGGAATGATTATAATTATTGTTAATACTTTTTGAACTTTAAAAAATATTTTGGTACTAAAATTTCAAATGAATTGCGTGAATTAATAAAATAAACATCGAATAAGGACGAGTTTATCTGGTAAACCTTCACAGACTGTTATATTTTTTTACAGATCTAACGTCCTTCCGTAAATCTGATAAATCTGACTTTGCTATTATTGTTGCATCGTTCATTGTACTCACTATGTGGTCAGCTTAAAATTCGCCCATCACGTGAAGTGAAATTTGTCACACTACGTTGAAGCGAAAATATGTATGTACCTAACAAGCCACGCTTTATTGACTTGTTGAGTTTGAGCGAATTAAATCATAAACAAATTATTTTTAATTACAAAAGGAAAGAAGTAAAGCATGTGAGAGAGAGAAACTTAACAATAACAACAATCAAAGTCTAAGTCCCAATTAATATGACAATAACAGTTTTGTTCTCAATATAGTATTAAGGCATTTAAAAGTTGATGGCATTTACAAGGCAACTGGAGAACGATTGGCGAAAAATGGTTTGAAATGTTAGTTTTTCTAGAAATAGAATATATTAGTATTCCAGAATTCTATATTATATAATATTCGCTTTAAGTATTTTGATAACTAAAATTATAAAACTAACTACGTTTAAAAGGTTCCATGCTACTTCTTGCAATTAGACTGATATTTTACGTTCGTCAAAGAAATTTTATTGAGTGAGAGTGATTTTTTATTATTATGGCGTTATTTTTTCTCAAAAGCATTTGAAAAAATATAACAATTTTACAATTAAAGAGTTGATTGTTTAAATAAATGAATTAATAGTCTTACTTTCTGGTAAAAATGTGAATAATTTGTTCAAATATTTCAATAAACATATTTAAACACTATTTCGCTTAAGATTTTTCAAAAATCTTTGTGTTTTTATGAATTGTAGCATTTTAACCTTAGTCGTTTCATTGCTAGATTGAAACCCGGTTAAGTTTTATTTTATGTAAAATAACTACTGTAAATTGTAAACAAAATGTTGTATATATATTGAAAAGTTTCTGATATGTGTATGCTTATAAATAAACTGCTGAGTATATACAAACACATACTAGATGTGAGTAAATGTGCAATGTACTTCTGTGTGAAACTTTGGCAGCGCAGATTCCGGTTCAATATGAAATCAGCTGTCACATTGCACCCGCCACCTAGCTTGTCCTTACCATTCAAAGCGATTAATTAATTTCACTGCGCAGAAAATTTTCAGATTTCCTACTTGATAAAAAATTAAAAAGTAACTCATTTTTGGCAAGAGTTTTCATAGTCGCCAATTTGAAATGAAAATTTATTAATGAAATTATTTCAATGCTAAATTTTTATTTTTATTATAATAATAATATTTATTTTTTTTTTTTCAAAAAGTCATTTGTGAGCCGCGTGATATTATTAAATTTTCACAGCTGCTTCCATGACAAAGCTAATATTTTACTATTTTTACAAATAACTTTCCATTAGTGGAACTTGCGGTCACACAAGGCGGTTAAAAATCAAAACAAAATAGCAAAAACATACTCACACACATACACAAAATAAGAAAATGACACTTACGTATATATATAAATACATACATATATACTAAGTGTTTTTATATACATACATATGTAGGTATTTATGTGCAAATTCAGATGTATACACATCACATGAGACATACAAACAGACATAATACAAACTAAAATAAATTTTCAGCATTTAAAAATAGCATTATAAATTGCACAAAAAAATCTCAAATTGATAGAGAATTAGGATTAATTAAAGCGATGACCCTTTGCCCTATAAACATTCGTTTACGCACTTATGTACTATATATGCTAATATGCATATACAGTTAGTTGTATGTGACAAAGCCAAAGACATAACAAAGCGCAAAAATTTAAATTTGAAGTTTATATTTTCATATTCCAAGCACATTTGTATGTAGCTGTTACCACACTGTCTCTGGCGACGAGTCTGCTGCACCCGGTTAAGGAAATTAAAAGTACCTGTAATTCGAGATAAGCTTTCTTTGTTTATTATAATTATGTTTAAATAGTTTTCGTGCGCTTATCAAAACAAAAAACAATTAGTTTGTTTAATAACACTTGCTCAATTTCGAAAAAAAAAATGTAATGATAGCTTAACAGAGACACTGCTTCACTTGAACGAGTTAACGAGTATGTTTTGGATTTTAKTTTTTACTTTTTTTTATTATTATTATTATCAACTATGCTTATACATGTGTACAAAGCATTTGGGGTTGTCCACCTTACGATTTTAGCTTTGACCTTGCGTAAAATTTCTCAAGTGAATTGACACAGATTTAAAGCAGCCAGTTGTAAACGTTTATGATTATATTGTAGTACATTTTATTTTAATCAATTTTAATTGATATTTATTTTCTTTAGCACATTTATCAATATTTTCTTCTGTTTTTACTTTTATTATTATTTTTTGTAATAAGCGAACGCATGAACTACACGAAAAGGCAAAAACACACAAAGTTCACTTTTAATATTTGACTTCTACCGTTGCGTCGCTTGTGTGCTCGTCTTCATCTTGGACACGGTGCGCACAATAAGAGTGTCATTCAAGGGTATTGCAAGGTCGTAGCGCGCAACTTGACGGGTATGGCTCGTTGGTATATGAATCCACGGCGCTTGCTTTAGCGTCATCTATAGTCCTCCGCTCTCCGTTTATTTTTTGTATCTCATTTTGTTTGCTCACTGATTTTCGGTARGTAGGTATGTATGTATATAACTTTTTTGTTTTGATTTTTTCGTGAATTTTCTCTTCTGACATTCGGCACGAGCACAGACTTTAGATACTCCCAATTAGATTTGTTCAGATACAAATTAACACAACACCTGCTATACTTAATATTTGTATGTACATATGTAGAAAAACAACACAAAAGAGACTTATGTATATGTCGGCAGCATACAGTACCAACTGGCACAATTATTCACGTGCGGCTTTTATGTATGTAGTTACATATGCAGTTTGTGGTACGTGCCACAGGTACCATTCTAAGTATAAGCGCTAAACTTTCTCAAACGAAATTTGGCATTTGAGTGGGCGCTTATACACATATGTTTTTAAGAAAAGCGCACAAGGCTGCTCACCAAAAATGCGCTACAGTGCCATTTGCATTTGTACATACAAACAAACTTACATTTGTAGTAATCATTTATGTTTGAGTTAACTTGTGTGCTCTTATCTCTCCGGTGCGGTCCGGTAGGTCGACGGTCTCACTCTCAATTGCCTCGAACTTGTATCGTGTCTCCTAACATACTATATACGCATGTTCATTTCTCGATGGCCACTGCACTCCTTACTTTCGCTTTCAACTTTAGCATTCGGATAATAATTGTGTGTTCTCACTATAATGGCATTACGCTGCAACTAAGTAGAGTTTCATATACGATGTACTCATACCTATGAAATGACTATCATATTTATTTGTTTATGTGCTCGTATCACACCGATTATAAACAATTCCAATATTTGCAAAAACCTTTGCACTTGCACTGTAGTTATGAGTATTTTAAGCGTACTCCGCATTCATATCTCAGTTGCTCTTCTATAAATACGAGTGCAAATCAAAGGTAGCAGCGGTACGAATACGACAAGGGTGGTGTAAAAGAATGAGAGCGAGAGAATCAAGTGACTTTTATGTTCAAAACAAATAATGAGTGTGAAACTTTTCACCGTTGCCACTAAAATATAAATATTTTATTTTGATAATTCGAAAGAGCATATAATCCATTATTTTCCTATTTCCAGTATTCCATGTCAGACGCTATTTGTGTATGATATGCACTATTTGCACAGCGAATTAATGAAAATATTTCAAATATTTGTGCTGCTTATCGAAACTAGCAAGAATAGCAAACTGTATGCATGTTGCTTTTAGCAAACATTTGCTATCGATAAATAACTCAATGAAAACTTTGACACGAATTTATTATCTCTCACTTTTCCATGCGAGAGTAAAGTAAATKGTTTTAAGTAAACCGAGGTTTAAAAAAAATACATTATAGTTACCAAAAGTATCTTGGTCAAACAATTTAACTTAAAAAAATTTATTTTATTTTTTACAATAAAAAATTCCTGCAAATGCGACTTGAAAATTGAAATCGCATTATTAAAGTAGTCAAGTTTTTATGTAACGCAGAACATCGCGATGGCAAAAATTATAATGGTAATAAAAATTACAAATATTGTCTAATATCTAAGACATTCTGACTATTTTGCTACCTTCTTTTCTATATGAAATATTATTTTCGGTAGTAGTGATTTTAATGCCCCCCGGCATAAAGAACTCAATACTACATCGTTTAATTTTTTATATAACTGTCGGCTTACATATACTCCTTCTTATGTATGTATGTATGTAAGAGAGAGTAATAAGCCTGAAATTAATTTTAAATTCAATCAAAAAATGCTAGATAAGATTTTCGTTCCGATACCATTTTTGATTAGACAATATTATTGTWAATTTTCTATAATTATTTTTTAGCATATACATATGTACCTAAAACGAAAGTGGGCTATTTTTATGCTGAAGGCTTATACTTATGTATATTTGGCAAATATGGTCTTATAGGACGTCAGCGATTTTAATTTCAATAGGTCACATAATATCAAGCGATCAAGTATTAAAGCAGAGAATAGAAGTATAATCTCTATAAATTCAAATAAAAACTATCACATGATTGGTTACGGTTCGATAACTCTACAATGAATAAATCAATATCTAATGATTATTTCGAATAGTAGTCCTCGAATATACTAACACTTTACTAATAATGATTGAAATGCATACCTTTGCATACCACTGAAATTCTAACTAAATATATTTCTTTTTTTTTTTTGTCGTTATTTTCAATACGTACTTTATATGTATATAACTGTGATTAAATTGAAACGTAAATTTTGTYCATTTTATCTCCTTCAAAGTAATCATTGCAGGGTTAACACTTATGCCAACGAATTTTCYAGTCATCRTAGCACTTGGAAAAATCTTCCGTCRTGATGGCCATTGGGGCCTTTTTCGACTCAGAATTTATGTTCTTAGTTGAGTCATAACGGTGTCCTCGGAGTGGTCATATGAATTTGCTGAAAAGCCGTAAGTTACACGAAGGTAAATCAGGCGAATGCGGTGGTTGCGGTATGATATTATTCAAATGATCACGAATAACCAATACAGTATAAGATGGTGAATTATCGCACTTCTTCGTACAATAAATTCAGATATAGTAAAAATCGAGGAATTCACTTTTAGAGCCTCACAAAGCGACGCGTATCTCAAATACTAATGAATATTTTGACGTGAAATTTAACATAGATGTCACTAACAGTACTACCAACTTACAGGAAAAAAATAACGATTCGAAAAACACGCGAAGTATAAATTAAAAATTCTCCATTCAATTTGATCATAGTAATATGTGCATCAATCAGCTCTTTCGTTTCTTTAGACTTAAATCTGCTCTTCGCCCACTTTGTAAACATATGTAAGACTGAGAATTTGGTCTATTAAAGTTGATATTGCATAAAATTCGTACGGAAATTCGTTAATTCCCTTACCTTGTCGTCAGTATTAGCTAAGCAAGTAGCCAAATATCGAATGCTAATGATGAGTTTGCTAAAAAAAACACTTACCACACCATTTACGTAAAGAAAACATGYTGATTTTAAGTACAATAATATAACGGCATTTAATTAATTGATTATTAAGTAACAYAAAGAAGCAGGAATTACAAATACAAAAATTTACAAATGTGCCATGTCAGCCGATACCGCTCAACATTTAAAGAATAAGTGATATTGATTGCTATTTTAGCTGGAAATAATTATATAAATAAATGTAAATAATGTAAATTAATATTTGAAGACTAAGTCTTGTTGAGTATATGAATGGTTTTACTGATTTGTCGTAATTTTAAAATACATAATAATAATTTCAAATATTTTGTGCGTATGCATATTTATTTAACCAACTGTTATCTGTCTAAAGGAAAGTAAAATGTTKTTTTAAATATTTTCACTGTTTATTTTTCTGCCTTTTCAAATAATGAAAGTTATGGTTGGAAAAAGATCATACATATACATACGTTTTATTTTATATAGTCGAACTTCGCCCTCGCCCACACACATCCATAAACACAAATGTAGATATACTATATGCCTATGCATTAGCCTCAATCTATATAACACAATCTGAAAGTGATTACTCTTCTTGCTCCGACAAAGATAATTGTCATACACAAATACACAAACATATGTAMATATTGATTTTCGAATCCGCACAAATCTAGATATGCATGTAATTTAAGTGTAGCCACAAAAGTAATGAAAGCTGTGCACTTTTCATGGGTTTAGCCCTCGAGTAAATCTGAGTATTTTCAACATATGCATACATGCAGTCATGTGCATACATATATACATACAGATAAACTTTTATAAGTTATTGACTAGAAATTTCGCATCAATTTTTTTTTTTTTTTTTTACATTTTACTTCCATATAYATGTACATATGTGTGTATGTGTGTTTGCAATTTAAAACTACATATGTTAATATGTATGTATGTTGTACTTTTTACGAGTGTGTGGTGACATTAGATTCTCAAACGAAGTTTTGACAAAACAACTTATCTCGACTTAGCAGTTTTAACCGCGYAAGTTGTAAAAGAACTTATTCCTACATAAATTGTAGGTCACCAACTTTGCCAAATTATTAATATATTGTTTAAGGAACCATCTTCTTTAATTCCTATAAATTTATGTAATGATTAAATTTAATATAATTAAAGAGGAACTTGCTAAAGCTAGAAAAGTTCTTTTGTCAAAAGTTCGCTGATATGTATGTGTACCTAATAAAAAATATATGTTTTCATTTCAACAAAAATTAATATAACTGTAATTTCGTACTAAAATCACTATAATACTGGTTAATTAAATAAAACAAAATAATAATTATTATAATTTATTCCAGCTATAAGCTGATCAAGATTTGCTCTTTATGTCTCTGCGAAATCTCACTGGAAATCTGACATTTAGCCATGCACAGCAATTCGTGTACAACAATGCAATAACAACAATCCATCTATCATATACGAGTTTTTAAGGTGCCAAAATCTTCTGTGGAATATGTGTGGCAAGGTACTGTTTATGCAACCGTTGTAAGCAGAACTGATAGAATTCGATTTCGTTTGTGAAATTATGTCGCACTATATTTTTCACTTTCTCACTCACTGGCGGTTTGAAGTTGTTCTTATTGATCTTCGTTAAATACTCCGCGCTACCTACGAAAGCGATAAGCAAAGAAATATTTTCAACWGGATATAATAAAGATCATTATTATATAGTAATTATAATTATATTCACGATTTGAAYAATTATACATGTCCACTTCTAAAATCATATGTTTCTATATATATAAAATGTTCGAAAACTAACTAATYTACTTTATTTATGTAAATTTGTATTTTTCTGTTGATTTAAAGTCAAGACCCAGACAATCGGAGCAACCTGTTACCTGACATTTTCTTAAGAATGCTTGAAATATTACACCTTGTTAACAGCTATAGTGTCTTGATATGAAAGATATACTGAAGTCACCACTGATCTGGATCGTTAAGCGACAAAGATAAAAGTCATTTCTTCCTTCTTGATAAGGATTGTCTGCCTGCAGTCACTTGCTGCTACAAAACTTACACCCCAAATATACCTCAAACTTCAATATTATACGTACTTTGGTAAATATCTCGAACACCTTCAAAGAACCGTGGTATATATTTCTCAAATACAGATAAGGTCGTATTCATATCCTCCAGAACGCCCACAACAGCATATTGACTCTCAACAGCGAACTTGGCGCGCTCCAATGCACCCACCGTATTGAAGGGGCTGCAAAATCAAAATAATTGTGCACAAGCGTATATAAAATTCAATATTTTTATTCTCACGTGCATTCGTATGCATGACCACAGAAGAATAGACTCTGTCGCCGGTGATCACCTATACCTTCCACGGTCACGCCCTGCGTATAGGTACATTCCTGATCGCCGGATAACACACAAGTTTCGAAATCTTTTTTCAACCATGCTGGGTGTGGTAGCGGTAAGTCGGGAAAGGCAGCTTTACGTTCGACAAAGTACCAGGGAGCGCGTACATAGTAAAACCAACTAATCACACGTTCAATGGGATCTCTTACGACATTCACATAAATCGGCATGGGCAAATTGAATTTTGTAAAATTCGTGTAGCATACGTGCTTGATAAAAACAGATGGTTCAGGTAGATCGCTTATCACTTCGGCAAGCTCTTGCTGCTGATCATCGGCCAGGCGTATCGTTTCCACCTTTTGCACTGCATCTCGATGAAATTGAAAATTATTTCGCTCCGATAGGCGACGCAAAAGTTCCATAAATGTTTGACTGCCAACTTTTGGTACTCGATTAAAGAAAACTATACCCAATTCGGCTTTTCTTGTATTGTTCAGCTCTAGTGCATTTAATGATTGCATCTAAGTGATTAAAACATATGAGAAATTATTAAATGTTTTATCATAAAATGCTTAAGTAAACAAATGTTCCCAACAAAAGTTTGTTTTATCCATTTCATGGTGCCCTTAAAAAAATTATTGCACTTATTCGAAATTTCAAAAGGGTTGAGCAAGAGAAGTTCCTGGTTCAGTTTAGCATAATACTTACTATGCCGTAATACTTACAGGGTTCCTTTCATATTAAAGCGGTTGTTCAACCACTCTTTCTCATCACGTCCCCAATATTTCTACTAATTTCGATAAAAAAATCTGTTTTTTTTTTAACTTTTGAAATAAACATAATGATTTCAAATCAAAAAATTAATCTAAATCTGGACAACTTACGATCATTCAGATTTTACTTTCCACCTTACTTTACCATAAATCGTTATCCTTCTATTATCGAAGATCGAAATTTCGAAATTAATTGGATTGACTTAGATATTATTTTGTTTCATTAAATTCTTAAGAATATAGCGTGGGCTASGCTGGTGGTTCCAACTGTAAGAAGAGGATTACAACAAAATTGGACAAAAACAACAACATTTTAAARATATTATTTTATTTCTTATAACGAAATTTCATCTAGTCTAAATATAATTYTAATTAATAGGAAAYTCCTTGTGATTAAGAGCTAGATATTGCTTGAGGAGCCGCTGCTTACAAAAGTGATAAAAATCGTATTCATTTGTAAAATTCTTACGTATCATCTGTTTCACATCTTCTGCCACAAATGGTTTCCGATTATTACGATTGCGATTTTCCAGACTCGCYTTATTTACTAAAAACAAAATGAAAATAATATCATATTGAATCATATAGTGAAATCAGTAAAATTGTGAAAAATTACAGTAATAAATGCTTTTTGCTCCGCTGAAGAAAAGTGGAATATAATGCTCCAAAACCGTTAAAGTGACATTTGTCTCCTCCCACGAACCGACAACGGCGTAGTCACGTTCCACACGATCCTTGGCTATCTGTATAGCATATGGAGAATCGAAAGGCCTTAACAGCGATTTGAAAGATGTAAATATATTGTTATCATCTAAATCTATTTGTATCAATAATTGGTAGGATTTATACTTACAAGCAATCTAAATTCTGACCACAAAAGAACAACGATTGCCTTTTGAAATTTCCTGTACTGTCCACAAATGTGTATGGCACGTATTGACACTCAGGATCTCCACTGCGCACACATTCGTTGAAATCCTTTTTAAACCATACAGCCGACTTAAGATTTGCGTTTGGGTTTTTGCGAAATACCCAGGCATTTTTGTACGCGTTGCGTGCATAGAAATACCAACTGATCACCCGTTCGACTGGATCGCGTACTAAATTTATATAGATCGGTTTCGGTAAACCAAAATCATAAAAGTTTATCCACGCGATATGCTCAACATAAACTGACCCGGCACCCAAGCGAAAGACGTAGTCGGCAACTCTCTCTTGTTCTCTCGGATGGAGGTTACGTCTGGCTCCTTTGCCTGGACCAAAACGGTCAAGGTTGAAGCCATTAATTGTTTCCAAATTGCCTAATAATTGGATCATCGACTCGCTTCCCACTTTTGCACAGCGATTAAAAAACAATATATCTATATCCGCTTTTCTTGTGTTGTTCAGAGATGAGGTGCTTAAAGAACGCAGCTAATTTAAGTAATGAAGTTTGTTTGTTTATATTATTAMAAGTATATACTACATACATACATATTTATTTTTATGCACACTTATTCTAATGTAACTGTTAACATTCTGCGGAGTTAAATGTGTTTAGCGAAGTGCTCTGATTTTATATGGTGCGAACGCAATTATGTGAGTACAACTCTTCAACAATAACGTTCACATATTGTACATATACATATACATACATATGTATATTAGTATTAAAAATTTTAACGCTTAAGTTGTGTATTATTTACGAATGATTTACTTACTTATTAGGAAACTGTAATGAAATGAAACGATTGTGTTTGTTTGAGACCACAATCAACATGGCATGAGTTCTTATGTAATAAAAAACACASGAATTCTTATTGTGGAACATTAACATACTATATATATGTGTAAAATGTGAAAAAGCCGTCTAATAATTTCAAATAGCCGCAAAATCAAAAACGCTTGTTGAAATCTTGGAAATAACAGAATTAATATATAAACAAGAATATCTAATTTTTATTTTTATTCTTTATGTATTTATTAAATCCAAATATTARTTCAAACTTTCTATGCTCTCTATGTTTTTGAGGTTCACAGCCAAATATTGTTTGTAAAGACGTTGCTTGCAGAAGTAATAAAAATCATACTCGTTGGTGAAGTTCTTACGTATCATTTCTTTGACATCCGCGTCTATTTTAGGTTTTCGTTTGTTCTTATTTCGGGTTGTTATTTCATTATTATGTACTGAAACGGGAAWACAATTATAATAGAAAATGAAGACGTTCGCTATATTTGAAAATACAACTTGTTTATTAAAATTCGAAAACCACATACTCTCAAACAGAATTTTCGCTCCCTGGAAGAAACGTGGTATGTACTTCTCAAAAACAGTAAGTGTTATATTAGTGTCCTCCCAAGAACCAACCACCGCATAATCTCGCTCGACATGCTCTTTTGCCATCTGTACAGCTGCCGGTGAATTGAAAGGTCTAGCGAAACAAGAAAAAATTTATAGAAATTAATATAAAGATGTTCTGTTATGTCAAAAATATATCGAAAATCGCAATTATTCGATTTTCACTTACAAGCAATCGTCATGATGACCACAGAAAAAGAGGGTTTGCCTTTTGTAATTTCCGGTAAAATCCTTGGTTGTGAATGGCACATATTGACACTCTGGATCACCGCTTCGCACGCATTCATTAAAATCCTTTTTATACCATTGCGTTGATCTTATTGGTTTATTGGGATCCTTCCGATATTCAATAGCATTCTTATAAGCACCGCGTGTATAAAAATACCAACTGATTACACGCTCCACTGGATCACGCACTAAATTTATGTAGATCGGTTTTGGCAAATCGTATTCTTCGAAATCAATCCAATTCACATGTTCTATATATACCGAACCATCATCGAACCCAGATATGGTTTCGGCCAATTCAATCTGTTCTTTTTTCTTCAACTGACGTTTGGTAGGTCTCAGCAGACCTTCACGCTCTATAACCAGGTTGTTGAAGTCTTCAAGTTTGTTAAAAAGTTCAAGCAACGATTCGCTACCGACTTTAGCACAACGATTGAAGAAGATAACATCAATCTCGGCTTTACGCGTGTTATTCAAACGTTCAGCACTTAGTTTCTTTAACTATAAAAAATGTGGGCATACTTTGAAGAATGTTTGTAGCACGTTATTTATTTCAGATATGCCACCGCACCCATTAATTTTCGAATGCCGTTATAAATTATAAAATCTGTATCTAACTATATTTATCTAGAAGATATGCATGACAATAGGAAGTGAATCGATGAAAAAGAATTAAAATCTCTTATATACCCCTTTCCGTTATGAGAAATTTTGTTAGAGGAAAAATATAGTAGAAGGCCTAAAATTTATATTTTGCAGCTGTCTACAATCATTAGTAGCTTAATGTAACCTTAATATGATATTTAAATTTAGATTGAATTTTCACTTATAATTTAATTTAAGATGTATTTTCTTAATTCCGTTTAGAATTGTAAAAATTTATTTATTTTCTCAAAATATTTTTTTATGATTTACTATCATTTTAAAACTTATTCCGTAACTCAAATATATTTATAAATATGTTCAAATATCCGAATTTAGTACTATAATAGATAACACTATCCTCCCCGTTTCCAATCACATTTCGTTGGAAAACAGTGATGTCTGTAGGGATGAATTATGTTAAAAAATTTATATCAACTCCTTATTGGTCTAAACACATCATTACTGATTTTGTCAACAGATTCTGTTAATTGTAGTAATTCACAAAGCCATGTTCCAAAGCATACTATGTATATGTTTTCAATTTGTCACTTATAGGCCTTCATTTCTTCGCATTTCTTTCTTCATTACTTTAAGTTTAATATTCTATAATTCTAGCAAGGGACTGGTACACATTTGATAGAATTAACTTATTTTAAATTAGATCCATTTTCGATTCGAGCCACTAAACTATTTTGAAATATCCTACAAAACCACCGGAAAAATAAATAAATTGTTGATCGCAATTTGATCGATCAGTGGAGAATTTGAGTACTAAAATATATACTATCAAATTTTTTCAAACTAATGTTTCCTATAATTTGAGAAGACAAAATTAGATGTGAAGGCATATCTGAACCGCAAAGTATGACCTACATTCAATATTTTGAAGAGTATCTTCACAAGCTTCCTAATCACATGTTGAGCGGAGAAAATGAGTAAAGAATGCAGAGGCGAGAAAATATTTGACCAATACCAGTTTCAGTCTCAAAACATATCATTCTTAGCTTTCACACATTGTATAAATAGTAAAATTAAAATAAGGTAGATATTCAGCATTCCAGCAATGAATTTGTGTCTCAACAACCCGCAACCGAATAAGCCCCAACAAAATGTCATTATTTTTTTTAAATAAATTTTCGATTAGAATTATTTTGTGAATAAGATGTGGTAATTTTTAATACAACAAATTAATCTAATGTGATTTTGTTAATGTAATTTAAGTTCGTGGCGCTAAATCACGTGATTCCTGCAAATCTTTATCAACCTGCTTAAGATCATTCAATTTGAGGGCTATATATTGCTTATGTAGACGTTGGCGACAAAACTGATAGAATTCAATTTCGCGTGTAAAGTTTTTACGTAACATATTTTTGATATCTTCACTAATGTGTGGTTTCATTGGATTATAGTTCCGGATGTCTTTATTCAGACCCACTGTAAAAGCGCAAATATGTAGGGGTTTTGATTTGAATAATTTATTATTTACTCACTATAATACATATTTTTAGCGCCGCGGAAATAAGACGGTATATAATTT